AAGCCATCCACAAAGGGGAAGTTATGTTCCAGTTGGAAGGTAGACTGGGTTTGCCAGGTGAGCAGTGGCTAGAGAGATTTTTCATTAGCAGAAAACTGCTCTGTGGCATTTGTATGCAATTAAAAAAAAAACAACCATCACCAGACTCACACATAAATCTTCTGAAGAAGTGAAAGCCAGACTGGGTGGAGAAAGAGGCCCAGTTGCTTGCAAGTTTTGTGTGTGTGATTCCAGCAAGACTGGGGTGGGGTGTGGCACACTCTGGCTGTGCGTTCCACCTTGGGATGAGAAGGCCCAGTGTGGGAAAGTCAAGGCCCTTAGCAGGCCCTGGCTCCCCGCCCCTGCCAAATGGACAATGCACAGATGTGCAGTGATTAGTGGCTGCGGCCTTTATTCCTTCACCATTGCCAGGCAAGCTTCATTTTGGGCAGTTAGGGCTGTGGGTTCTGAGGGACTTAAGAGCTTAGATAGTCAGAGCTGGCTTCTGCAGTTGGTTAGACCAGGGTTCAAATACAGATTCTGGCTGGCCAGTTAGCTCAGTTGGTTAGAGCACAGCCTAATAACCCCAAGGTCATGGGTCTGGATACCCATACTGGCCAGCCACCAAAAAAGTAAAAGTAGAAAAAAAAAAAAAAAGATACAGATTCTGACTTAATACCTGTATAACCTTGAGTGACTTGATTTTTTTTTGGATCCTGACTTTCCCTACCTGTAACATTGGGATGACAATAATAATATCACACTCACAGTGTTCCTGAGAAGATTAAAAAAGGTAACACATGTTAAGATGCTTAGCTCTTAAGCACAGTGGAAATAAAGTTGATGGAAAATAAACATCAGTTTCTAAAAAAAAGAAGATGCTGGCACTAAGAAGTGGCATTTACTATAGTGATGAGGAGCAAAGGAGCAAAAATAAAGTCACTTAGCCCACTGTGTGAGTCCAGTAAAGAATAAACATTGCGGTTGATGGAAAATAAACATCAGTTTCTAAAAAAAAGAAGATGCTGGCACTAAGAAGTGGCATTTACTATAGTGATGAGGATCAAAGGAGCAAAAATAAAGTCACTTAGCCCACTGTGTGAGTCCAGTAAAGAATAAACATTGCTCTGCACATTCTGAACCCTGCATTAGCTGGTGGGGTGGGAGTTGAAGGGTTAGGGTGAAGGCCTGTGCCTTCCTCAAGCAGCCCCACCTTATCTCAGGGCAGGGCTGGCTGGTGGGGCCCCCAGACCTTCAAAATGCCATTGCCTTTTGTCACCCCGTGGGGAAGGCCTGCTTTCCCAGCACCTCTCCTCCCTCTTCCCACCAGAGTGGGCTTTCTCCCAGGACCCCAACCAGATGGCCCCAGGACCTTCACAGTCAGCACTGGGGGTAGGAGGGAGCCATCCCCTTCTCTAAGGAGCTGCTGGGGGAACCAGCTCCTCTTCCTCTTGGGGTTGGAGGCAGAGCAAATATTCCCCTTTATATTTTGCTTCTCTTTTTTGCAAGCAGGGTGTAAACATTGGTGTAAAATTACAACTGAGAAGGCCCCCGCCCTGGGGAGGATATAAATTCATTTTGTAAGGTCTGGTTCTCCATCTCTGTTCTTTTTGGAAAGTGGGCTTCTAAATCTGGAACTTTCAGCCTGTGTTCTTTGGATGTTTACTCGTGAAGGTAAAATAATAATCATGATAATAGTAGCAGTGTCAGCTTCCTCAGTGCAGACTTATCTAAGTTTTTTTTTTTTAAAGATGACTGGTCAGGGGATCTTAACCCTTGACTTGATGTTGTCAGCACAACACTCTCCCAAGTGAGCTAACCGGCCATCCCTATAAAGGGATCCGAACCTGTGGCCTTGGTGTTATAACACCCTCCCAAGTGAGCTAACCGGCCATCCCTATAAAGGGATCCGAACCTGTGGCCTTGGTGTTATCAGCACCACACTCTCCCAAGTGAGCCATGGGCCAGCCCTTCTGCTAAGTTCTGTACACATAGTTTCTCATTTATCAGAAACTCCTAGAAGATATAATGTGAATGTAGGTTAAAGGTAAGGAAACAAAGTCAGGGGCAGCTCCAGGTGCCTGTTCTTAATCATGGCTCTGCCACTCTGAGACCTTAGGCATCTGACTACCTCTTTCTGTCTCAGTTTCCTGACCTGTCAAATTGGGATAATAACATCTCCTAGGGTTCTTGTGTTAATGAGATAATGCCAATACTGAAGAAATGGGTGGGAGTTTCTATTATTACTATTATAACTAGCATTTTTTTGCTGTTGTGAATATCCTGATGTGAATACCTTGACTATAATAGTGGACCCCAGGATGCTGAGAAACCATAGAATAAAAGTTCACCTAGGAATCTTCTCTCAGAGCTGGGGTTCCTGAATTGTGGAGGTGGGTTTCATATATAGGGATGGGGTTCCCAAGGTCAGGACTCTGATGGGAGCATTATGGGTCTACAACTTATTAACTGGTTTATTTCCATATCAAGCATATCTCTGTCCCTGCACTATCCAATATGATAGCCCCCAGTAGCTTGAAATGTGGCCAGTCTGAATTGACATGTGCTGTAAGTATAAAACACACATCAAATTTCAAAGACAGTACAAAAAACATAAAAATATAAGTCCAATATGATAGCCCCCAGTAGCTTGAAATGTGGCCAGTCTGAATTGACACGTGCTGTAAGTATAAAACACACATCAAATTTCAAAGACAGTACAAAAAACATAAAAATATAAAAATATTTAAAAATATTGATTGCATGTTGAAATGATAATATTTTGGATATATTGGGTGGGGTGACCAACTTGTTCTAGTTTGCCAGGGACTTTCCTGGTTTTAGCACTGAAAAGCCTGCATCCCAGGAAACATCTCAATTCTGGGCAAACCAGGACAGTTGGTCACCCTAATATTGCGTTAACTATATTATTATAGTTAATTTTACCTGTTTCTTTTTACTTTTAAAATAACACTTAAAAGGGAACCTTAGCACATTAGCAGCCAGTGATTGGGCTGAGTGGATCACATCAGCTCCAGTCTCGCCTAGCAGGGAGGAGGTCCCCAAGGGAGTGAGACACTGGCTGATAAGTTTTGATGGATGAGTTTAGGTGAAGGAAATGAGGAGAAACTGGGAAACTTGGGCAAGGGAATGGCAGAGGTTACTAATCTGCCTCTAGTGATTCTGCTGCTTAGGGGGCCCATTGTGTGGACAAAGGCAAGTCCCAGGCTGGGGATAGCATGGGAGCTCTTGGGCAGAGTACAGCCTTTGCAGTTTGACCCAGGTTGAAGTCCAGATTTGTCTAGTCCTTATCAGCTGACCTCCAGCGAATCTCTTCACTTAATCACTATAGAGGAGAATGAGCATTCAAATGGTTTTGAGTCTCAGAAAATTTTGTTATACCCACAAAATCAGCTGCTTCTCCTGGTCAACCCCCAGGGCTGGAAGCCCTTGTCCTCCATCCTGCTCAACCCCTCTTCCTCAGGAAGCCTGCCTGACCTGAACTCCTCCCCAAACCTGGGTTAGGAGCCCCTTCTCTGGTCCCAGAGGACCCTGTGCCTCTCTTACATACTTGGATTCCAGTTCTGATTGTGCCATGTGGCCTGGACACGTCAGTTAACCTTCTTGTTAAACGGGGTCAATAGCAAGGACCTGGCTTAGCACAGCGCTTGGCACAGGTGCACAGCAGGTGCTCAATAAACACTAACTGTAACTCTTATAATTATTCAGGCTTTTGACAGCAAAGACCTGGCCTGGGTCACTGCTGTATCCCAGCACCTAGCACAGAACCCGGATAAGAAGCGTACGTGCTTAATATATGGTGTGGTAGGCAGAATAGCAGCCTCTAAAGATGTTCACATCCTAATTCCCAGAACCTGTGAATATTACATTACATGGCAAAAGGGAGTTAAAGTTGCAAATAAAATTAAGGTTGCTAATCAGCTGATTTTTAAAATAGGGAGATCATCCTTTACTAACCAATTAGCCCAATGTAATCACAAGGGTTCTTAAAAGAGTTAGAGGAGATGTGACAAGGAAGAACCAGAGAGATGACAGTGTGAGAAAGACTCGGCCTGATGTTGCAGGCTTTGAAGATGGAAGAAATCACCAGCCAAAGCATGCAGGCAGCATCTAGAAGCTGGGAAAGGCAAGGAAAGGAATTCTTCCCTAGAGCCTCCAGAGAGGAACACATCCTACCAATACCTTGATTGCAGCTCAGTGAGACCAACGTGGGGCATCTAACCTACAGAAATTCAAGATAATAAATTTGTGTTTTTAAGACACTAAGTTTTGGTAATTTGTTACAGTGGTAATGGGAACACATAGCAAATCTTATTGTTCATTTTTACTACTAGTACTAAGCTGTTTGTGATAGTTGATTTACACTTTTGTCTCCCATCAGGCTATGACTTCTTGAGGTTAAGGAATAAATTTATTTACCTGGTTTGCAGGCTCTGAGAAGAACACCTGGTACACACAAGGAGCTCATGATAAGAACCCTTATTCAACCTTACTGAACCAATACATGGATGAAAACCCCTCTGCCGCGTGCTTCTGCCCCAAGACCCACACCGCAGTCCCCGCCCACTTCGTCAGCCCCAGCTTTCGCACGACCCTCACTGCGGGGCGAGCGGGTGACTGGCTTTAAGCCGCCCGAGCTGAGCTCCTGCCAGGATAGTGTTCGTGGAGGGTCGCAGAGCGCCGGTCCCGAGACTCCGGAGGCCGCGGGGCGCAATTCCTGCTTCAGGCGCCAGGGGGCGAGCGCGGCCCGGGAGCTCCCGCAGGAGGATTGGGAAGGGGCGGGAATTTGGGGGCGGGACGGCTCAGTGCGCAGGCGCGGGGTCGAATGCCTCGCACGGCCAGGGGCGGGCGACGGCAGATCAGTCCCGGCAGCGGCTTCAGTAGCAGCAAGTTCGAACCCCGCTTCCCCTCCGCTTCGGTTCTTGCTCCCCCAGCCCTTGGGCCTTCGGACGCCAGTCCCCAGCCGCTCGTTGCGCATTTGCGCTCTTCCCGCCTCCAAGATGCCGGTGACCGAGAAGGACCTGGCGGAGGACGCGCCATGGAAGAAGATCCAGCAGAACACGTTCACACGCTGGTGCAACGAGCACCTCAAGTGCGTGAACAAACGCATCGGGAACCTGCAGACCGACCTGAGCGACGGGCTGCGGCTCATCGCGCTGCTCGAGGTGCTCAGCCAGAAGCGCATGTACCGCAAGTACCACCAGCGGCCCACCTTCCGCCAGATGCAGCTCGAGAACGTGTCCGTGGCGCTCGAGTTCCTGGACCGTGAGAACATCAAGCTGGTGTCCATCGGTGAGTACTCTGGCGAGGCCCAGACGCCTGCGGGGTACCGTCTTGCCCCGGCGCGTGCGCCCCTGCGGAAGGTCGGGGCTCCAGGCAGCGGGCCCCACCGCGCCAGGCGAAAGGGAGTCGTCCCCGGGTGTGGGGTCTGCGTCCCTTACGTCCCCATCGCCTGGGGCTCTCCCCTAGGCAGGGACCTGGTGTGCCATGCGCTCTGGCAGTGCGCCTGGACTGGCTGGGGGTTGAGGGCTTGGGTTGGGGTCGCAGGAGGAGAGGTGGAGATGAGGCATTTCTCTGCGCTTGGGGCGCCCCTGCAGGAGCTGGGGGACTGGAAACCGTCCGTCTTCCCCGGGGGCGGGGCCCTGAAGTCAAATGCTCCCTGGAGCGCTTGCCCCCTTGAGCCCAGGCCGGTGTGCTTTGCAGCCGCGGAATGGGCGTTGGCTCAAAGGCGGGGCGGGAGACCTGGGGTGGGACCGTTCTCTGCGCCTGGGGCCCTCTCGCCCAGGTGGAGACGGGGGCCTGGTACCCTCCCCCGCCGTCGCCGGAATGGGTGTGGGCCGCGAGGTTGGAAGGGAGCTGCGGGGGTGTGTCCTTCTCGCTCCCCTCCTTGCAGCTCAGCTCTGGCCGAACGCCGTGGGTTGAGCCCACTGTGTCGCCGAGGGTATAATTTAGAGATGGTGGTGGCGATAGTAATTGCTGCCTTGTGGGGCGTCCAGCTAGTGCACCCTGTATACCAACAGCATTCTGAGTTATCTCGGTCCTTACACATCCCTCGAATTCTTGTGTAGTTAGACCCATTTTACAGATAACGGGGTCCGGAGGGTTAATTGATTTGCCCTAGGTCACGAAAGTATACTCCAACGGAGAATTGAAGGAAGTGGGTGTTTTCGTCTCACCACCCTCTCCGCGCCAGGGTCTTCCTGACGGGAGGGAGGGAGTTGGTGTCTGGGTTCCTCTCCCACCGGACTGGAGAGGAAGAGTGAGGATGAGGTATCCCTGTGGCGTGGGGTAGTTGGGGGCTTCGAGGAGGGTCACGATGCTGCTGAGGGTGTGGGCTGTGACAATAGGGGCAAGAAATTCGTAGTGTCTGTGTGTGCACGCGTGCAGAGAATGTGTGCGTACACTTAGCATTTGTGTTTAGTGTGCAGTAGGCAGAGAGTGAGTTTGTGTGTGCGTGGGTGTGCAGAGTATGCAGAGAATGTGTGTGCACATACGTTGCACGCGCGCACTTGTATGTTTTGCCCGGGAGGGACTGGCCCAGGCCTGGGTCTGCGGTCTCTTCTTGAGGAAACTAGGTCATTGTAGTAACCCCAGTGACAGGAAGAAATGGAGGTGTGTATAGCTGCTGGGACTTTCTGCAGTGGAAAAGGGGTTCCCTCTAGGCCCAGCCTCCTAGAGACCTCACCCTGGCCTTCCCCTACACCTGTCCTGGCAGGTAGGGCTGCTTCCTTCTTCCTGGGCACAGGCAGCTGCCACCACCCAGTCAACCTCCCAGCAGGCCTCCCCCTCCCAAGGGTGGCTTCTCTGCAGAGGGAAGCTGCTGGCATGCTGGGGTTTTTTTTTGGCTCATCTCCTTCCTGGAGAGGGAAAACCTCAGAATTCTCCTGGAATTCTTTCCTTTATGAAACTACCTTCCCCTCTGAGGAATCTCAAGGCCTGGCTGGGCTCAACTTGGATACATTCTACTTTGTTTCAAAAATGTGTATTTATTTAATTAACTGAACAAAGAAACTTAAAGTAAACCAGGAGTATCCAAACATGACATGAAATCTCTTAAAAAAAAAAAAAAAATCCCAAAAAATCACAGCACCAGAAAATCCCAGACTGCCTAATTTACCAACTGTTTACAGGGCTAGCAGCTGCTTTCAGCATGGCTTCACATCCTTGCCCCAAGCTTGTGGGTTTCATTCTCTACTTTGTCTGGTCTCTTGTGTTTTTCTACTTGGTCCTCATGATTTTCATTCCTGAACTTACCCAGGCCTTAGCACTTCCCGTTGTCCTGACATTCCAAGGTTAGCTCTCCTTCCTTTGCGGTGGGCCTGTGGGCTGTTGGCAGCTTCTTCCTGTGGACCTCTTCTAACCACAATTACATTTTAAAAAAAATTTTTTCCCTTTTTAATTATTTCTTGGATCATATTCCCGACAGTGGCATTCCTGGGTCAAAGGATGTGACCACATTTATGACTCTTATCATTGACTGCCTAGTTGCTCTCCAGAAAGATCTCACAGCAAACAGGTTTTCCAGCCTCTGGAGACCAGAGGGAGTCTTGCCAAATGCCCAGACGGCTGTGGGGGTAAGCCTGAGGCCTCTTCCATCTGCTCCTGGGACTGTTCTGGGTAATGGCCCTTCAAAAAAGAAGTCACATCCAGCTTGTACTTGAGTTCATGTATTCACTGCTTATGTTATGTTGCATTTGCCGACAATGACACTAGCTCCAATTTGGGAGCACCCACTGGATGTTAAGTGTGTTCTATTGATCACCCCACTGAATCCTCATGGGAATCATTAATTGACAGCAGTTATTGCCCTTGTTATAATAACCTGCTTCAGCAATCATGGGAAGGTTAAAGTCTTTGCTCTGTCCTGACCACGTAGTAAGTACTTAGAAAATCATTGTTATTATTATTAGTATTATTATCCCTATTTAAAGATGGAAAACAGGAGTGAAGTAACTTGGGGAGGTGTCCCAGCTAGCTAGTAAATGGTGATTGGAACCCACGTCTATATAGCAGTTGAATCTGAGCCTTAACTGACTTGCCTTCCAGTGCTGGAGGTGAGTGAAATACAGCTCCTGTCTCCCCATCGAGGGCCCCTGTAACACTAAGTTTTGCAAGTTTGAGTTGTTGGGGTGTTGGCTGGATACCCTCACTTTGAACGTCTGGCTTTGGACAAAACAGATATTTCAGGGCCTTCATCCTCTGGGCTGTGATGAGGGTCCCACGAGTTAGTGTCTTGTCAGGAGATGAGTGGAGTCAGTTTGCCGCTTGCATTGAGGTTGAATCTGTTAAGGAATGGCTACTCTTTTCTCCCTTCCTTTCTTTCCTTTTTCTTTCCCTTTTTTCTTGGCGGTTGGCTGGTATAGGGATCTGAATTTCTTTCTTTCCTTTCTTTCTTTTGCCATCTCCTGCTTCCCAGTGGATGACTGCATAATCAGGAAAGGTATTGTTGAGTGAATATAGGGTTTTGCATGCTTTGGATGACTTCCAACAATAATGCATTGTGGGAATCATTAGAATACTGTACCTGTGCTCGGCTCTGAGACATGAAATGGTCAAACAGCTGCCAGAGAACTGTGACTTTTCTGCCTAGAATTCACTGAAAGATAGCCTTGGCTATTTACTCACATTTGTGCTTCTTTGTAATGTGGGTCCATCCTAGGCTCCATACAAAAGTTGAATATTTTCTTAAGTTTCTTGTTATATCCTGGGCAATTGCACAGTGAAAGGACATTTAAAGTCAGCGCTGCTCTGGGGAGACCAGCTTGGTTGGCTAATGTTGATCCTACTTGCTAAAATACAGTTATGGATTGCCTAGAGGGTGTTGCCTCCTTGGAAGAGTTTGACCCCTGGTATGTTATGGCTGCCTCCGGGGCCCATTCACACCAGCCTTGTTTCCTGGTGGGAGCTCCAGGCGAGGTGGCTGGTCATTCCAACCTCCCACCCCGTTCAGGAATCTTGGGGCCAAATCACTTCCAGATGGTGGTCGGGCCTCTGTGGAGCTCCGCCAGCAACAGCAGAGCCAGCATGCCAGTTAGCAGTCGCCTTCATTCTTGGAGAGTTTGTGTTGAAGGAGGGCTTTGATTTGGAGCCAAATTATGTCTCCTAACACTCCCACCGGCGTGTCCTGGTTCTGCGCTTTGGGGTCGGTGTCATGGAGTGGGCTGCTGGCTTAGTCGAAGATGGCTGCCTTCCTCTTTGGGGCAGCAGATGCCCAGGGCCCCAATCCTTCAGGCCCTGCCTCCGAGTGGCTCTGTGGGCAAGGGTAGCAATCATCCTGCTTTCTCTTTCAACAGTCCCCAGGTCAGCACATACTAGATTATGCTAGATACAGCTTAGTGATTCAGGACCTGTGCCTGGAGGTAGACTGCCTGGATTCTCACCCCACCCGCCCCCCAACAGCTGTGCAACTCTGGGCCACTGCCTTGACCTTTCTGAGCCTTTGATTCTCCATCTATAAAATGGAGGAGAGTAATAGTTCCTATTTTAGAGTTGCTGAGAGCATTATATTTGATTAGGTTAAGTTATAGCACAATGCTGGCATTATCATTATTAATATTATTGTGCTTTTGAACCCAAGTCCAGGACTTTGTCTTGTCTTCCATCTATTCTCTGACCAGTCCGGATGTGTTTGGAGTCCTATTGCTATCATCTGGTGTGTTAACTATTCCCTTCCTGCCCCCCCAGCTTGGAACCTCTGATGAAGATGCCTCCCAATATCCTTTCTTCCTTCCTTTCCTCATTCAACAAATATATGAAAGACCAACCCTGAACCAACCCCTGTGCCAGGTGCTAGGACCACAGGAATAATGAGAAAGTTGCGTCCCCTACTTGCCTTCCACACTGCTCAGTGGGGGAAAGAGACAAGTTACTGGAGAGTATCTAAATGAGGGCTTCTCAAACCCTTGGGCACATAGGAATCAGCTGGGGACACGTCCCCTACTTGCCTTCCACACTGCTCAGTGGGGGAAAGAGACAAGTCACTGGAGAGTATCTAAATGAGGGCTTCTCAAACCCTTGGGCACATAGGAATCAGCTGGGGACTTTGTTTAAAATGCAGATCTGGTTCAGTAGGGCTGGGGTGAAGACTGAGTTTCTGCATTTCCAACCAGCTCCCAGATGCTGCTGTGGACCCCAGTCTGTGAGCAGCAAGGATCTAGATACCAGCTCCTCTGAGAGGAGCACCTGCTCCCAGGCTGGGGTGGGTAATCTGGAAGGCTCCCTGGAACAAGGGCCCTTTAAGTTGAGACCTAAAGCTTGATTACATTTAGCCAGGTGAGTGCAGGAGAAGTGTC